AAACTTTATGTAGGCTTATTTTGTTGAGGACAAAATAGTTGCGGGCAACGATTTCCTTGAGACATATGAAAAGCCCGTGATAATCAGATGTTCACAAACAGAGCTAAACGCTGTTTACTAACTGCGGTCGCATACGACCCACTCGTCCGGGTCACAAAAGACCCATCACGGTTTTTCGGCTTTAACTTCTGAAACAAAGACGTTAGGATAAAATAAAAACTGTAGCGTAAGTTAAAAACATATGGTCAATACTGTGTAACTCTAACCTTTTAAAAATAAAGAATTTGGGTCATTAACGACCCACTCGGCTCACTTGCTTATTACTACATATGTCCATGTTACTTCTTGAATTCAGCCTAAAGCATGACATCATAAGTTCAAAATCGCCTCTCAGCAAGTGATAATCATCATAAACTGCGAAAAATCGGTTAAATGGGTCATTAGCGACCCACTAGGACCACAAAATTGATTAATTAAATATAATGTTGTCAAACTTTTACAAATATTAGTATAAAAACATGTTATATCTTGGTCATTACTCCTGTACGTTGATTTAACTTTTAAAATCGATCTACTGGGTCAATAACGACCCACTCGGAAGTTGAACCACCTCATCAATTATTATCAGTATCATGCTGTTCCACCATCAAGAAAGACACTCGTAGGTCTTAATTCCACGCAAACCACGGGTGGCTGACTACTAGCCCTTCTGAGATCCAGGGCCAACTGAAGGGCCGTCATCACTCATCAAAGAGCTGCGAGAATAACACTACTGCATATGCCTGGAGTTGCGTCCTGACTATAATACTATGGTGCGTGGAAATCTGTACCGAAAGGACCGTGGCCGTGCCGCAAAAGAAAAGGAATCGGCCCTCGTTCCTAACTTGCTAGGTAATAGCCATGCTGTTGTTGTTGCTTATTAGATTCTGTTACCTTTTTCGTCAATTTCGAATCTTGGTAAACGACCTGCTACAACCCACCGCTTGAGATCCAGGGTCCTACGGTGATCAGATCATGTCACTCAAGAAAAATCCCCTGAACGAAGTATACGAGATATCATGTAACCTTGGGTAAATACTGAAAGACGAGTGGTCAAATTGCATATTCTAATCCAACATGGCAATATGTTTTTTTCATTCCTAGAAAGTACGAGAATAACTAAACAACTGCTGCATTCAGATGGCTACATCTACAGCTCTGTATAGAAGGACAAGGAAAAAGCCCCCCCCCCCCCCCCCCCCCCCCATTTGGCTGGCGGTCTTGCAACCTGCAATCTCTCAGACAACTACCTCGTTTTGGGTAACAAACCCTGCAACAACGAGGCAGCTTTCAAAACGAAAACAAGTATTACGTAATCGGCCGAGAGGGAGGGGAGTTTCCAAATGATTAAGCTTGTGTAATTTTGACATAATAGCTATGTGGTGGGGGGGGGGGGGCGTAAAAATTGTCCAATAAGTGATTACGTAATATATGAACCGCCCCTAAGAAGTAAAGAAAGGGAGCTGCGAAGAGAGTAGATGCAGCCATCTGAAATCTGAATCCAGCAGTTGTATAGTTCTTCTTGGACGTTCTAGGAATCGGGAAAAGATAGGCATGTTGTTTGCTGTCTCACGACTTTACGGTCGTGTACTAACAGCTGATAAACTCACCTACCTATCAATCCAATTCTGCCCATTATTCGTCAGTCATTGGGTGACGTTATCTGCAGATTACCGTGAGACTCCAGATCTCAGAAGGGCTAGTAGTCAGCCACCCGTGGTTTGCGTGGAATTAAGACCTACGAGTGTCTTTCTTGATGGTATAGAACAACATGATACTGATGATTAATGTCGTGGTTCAACTTCCGAGTGGGTCGTTATTGACCCAGTTGATCGATTTTAAAATTTAAATCAACGTACAGGAGTAATGACCAAGATATAACATGTTTTTATACTAATATTTGTAAAAGTTTTACAACATTATATTTAATTAATCAATTTTGTGGTCTTAGTGGGTCGCTAATGACCCATTTAACCGATTTTTCGCAGTTTATGATGATTATCACTTGCTGAGAGGCGATTTTGAACTTATGATGTCATGCTTTAGGCTGAATTCAAGAAGTTACATGGACATATGTAGTAATAAGCAAGTGAGCCGAGTGGGTCGTTAATGACCCAAATTCTTTATTTTTTAAAAGTTAGAGTCACACAGTATTGACCATATGTTTTTAACTTATGCTTTTTATTTTATTTTATCCTAACGTCTTTGTTTCAGAAGTTAAAGCCGAAAAACTGTGATGGGTCGTTTGCGACCCGGACGAGTGGGTCGTATGCGACCATAGCTGTATCTTTTTAAGTAAACGAGATACAGATTAGCTTTTTTGGATATCTCATTTTTGCTGTAAAGTGACCTAGTGTGTTAAACGGCATCAAAATCGGCAAACTTTAAAACTCGTCGTCCCTAATGGGTTAAGAGTAAATATATCCTAGTACTAAAAATAACAGTCAGAAGAATTTAGCCTTAGTAAGAAAAAAAAGATAACATTAATAATCAAGCAGCCAAGAAAATAACTGTAAAAGCGTAATATATTATATAACTAATCAGTGAGAAATCACAAAATACCAACAACAAAAGGTGAAGCATTTTTTGTGACACATGGCCGCGATTTCAGGGTTTGAATAGTCGATTCTGATTGGTTAATGTCTGTCACGTGTCAAAACATATGCTTCACCTCCCCTCCAGGATCCACATCTATACATCAACTTACAGTAGCTGCTCAAACTAAAAATGGATTGTTTGAAAAACTAATGACTATAAATTCGTGGATCATAAAAGTATTGAAATAAAGAAGAAGCAGTCATTTAATATTACAGCTTTACAGTTCCTGTGCGGGTACCAATATTTTCAACATCTTCATTTAAGTCAATATTGTTCATTGTTGTGGTCATGCTGTGGAGCTTGAAAGGAAATAGTGTCCATCGACTTTATTATCTTCCATAAGCTCGTTCTAGCTGTCCATTACGTAATATCACCCTGAGAGTAGAAATGTTAATCACTAATAAACCAATTAAGACTTATAAACTGTTGATGAAAGTTTTCAGCCATCATTTTTATGGGAATCTATATCATGTAAATTTATTTTTTATAATGTAAAATGTACATTCATCTTGATGATAACAGTTTTTAATAAAGCATATATCCTGCTTATTCAAAGATTCTATGTAAATCTGTAAAATCCTACCTTATCATTAGATGTTCTATGATTCCATCTAAATTGGCGTTTCTGCGATGATATCCTCGTTTGCTCTTACTTGCGATGCTCCCTCTATTTGATCTCCCATTTCTACAGCAGTAACTTGCAATCTTAAACATGTAGCGCCTCTTGAACATCTAGCAGCAAAATTTCTGAATGCCTCACCAAACAACTCTCTGAGAGTGTTATCATATAGCAAAGGGTTGATGACCGAATTGAGGGGTAAAACTATCATAGCGAAGCTTACGTACCAATCTGTAGCATCGATTGTTTCGAGATTGTGGAGCCCACTGATGATCATAAATGGAACCCAACAGGCGAAATCTGTGGCTATGACCAGCGCAATCCTGGTCTGTATAATTGCTCGGTTTCTGCGGACAGCATCTGGATTGCTATTTTGCCCAGAATTTCTGGATGATTTCCGAGATATAATGTTGATCATCAAATAGGACACGGTTATCACCACAAAGCAGAAAAGGTTGACGCCCAACATAAGCCAAACTATCATATTTCCTTTCACGTCGATCATTTCTGTTTTCATATCCGATGTTATGCGGTTTCTTCTAGGATCATCACTACGAACAAAGTATTTGAAGAGGCACACACCATCATTTCCGTAAAAGTGCACTGCACTTCTACTCAAGCTTTGGTTGAACATTCCATCAACTTTCTCGCCGATCTCAGCCCAAGTTGTATTCGCCAACAAATTTTCAGTTTTGTAGTATGCTTGAAGAATTTTAATATGTTTCATTTTGTTCGGGAATCCGATAAATAGCTTGTAGAGTGGATCATAGAAGAAACCTTGCACAAAGTAGTCATCTAAGGCGGGGACCAATGGTATGATTGCTACTGATATCGAAGCAGTAACGATTCCAATAACGATCCCAATTAATTTTGCTATTGCTCTTTTATTGACACGGGCTGGAATGCTAAGAGAGCTGTTCAGAATTCCCCACATCCTGATCAAACTTAAAAGAGTCATCGAAAATAAAGAAAGTTGTGATCCCGCAGTGCTGATAACTCCAAGAACAGAACAAGAATTCCCCGATAACCACTCAGCTTGCTTCCTGCAATAATTCTTTCCGAAAATAATGCTGTCGAATACTGATAGTGCGATCAAGTAGACTCCTATTAGGAAATCACCAATTCCGATTACACAAATTAGTACTGTAGTGTATAAATTGCTTCTTGTTTCAGAGTCTTTAATACAACTCGCTACTTTGCACACGGTGATGATATTAAAAATTGCTGCTAAGAGGCCCAACAACCAGCAATAAAGTTTCAAGAACCAGTTTTGGAGGATTTCCTTGCCACACTCTAGATTGCATTCATCTGAAAGATCAAAACAATCAAATCTACCGTCGCACTTCTGGGAATGAGATATCAAGTGCTCTTTTACTTGATCTGTCCGGTTGTTTGTATTCTCACAAACTATATGATTTGTACAGTTTCGTTCATCCGACATGTCACCACAGTCATCAACAAGGTCGCAAACTTGGCTGTACTTTATACATTTAGTATTCTTACATTGGAAAATTGTATTTTCATATTCACCTACATCGGACATTGACACAAAAGTCAGGTTATTGTTGTTTGCCAGAGTTTTGACTCGGCCAGGATACTGACCAGGACATGAATCATGTTCTAAAAAAGTGTCTTGAATAGGACACGTAGAGTTTAAGCATAAACCCATGCAACTGATAAACACATAATATTCACCGAAAAGACTATTGCAGTTTACTTGAGTTATAACAAAGTATAAACACAATTCCTCATAAAATAATAATTCTATGATCGTGTCACTGTAAACATGTGCAATGTGTTATATACCCCAAAATATCAATGGATTTAAATCTGATAATCAAAAATTTCAAGTCATTCACAATGAAAAAATAAAGCTTAAATAATTAGCATCTGAAAATAAAAAAGGGAAGGTATTCCTCGTGATTTTAAAGGACAAGGTTTTGATATGCAGTAAGTTAGTAGAAACCCAAATGTTCGCACCCTAATTTAATGAATAATGTCCAACTTATCTTTGAATCAACTTGTCAATAACTAGTTTTGTACTCATTTTAGTTTTTGAGGTATGAACTTAAGCATGCTGATTGGTGAAGTAGCCCAGAGCATCAGTCAGAATGTAATGAAAACCGAGAAAAGTCAAAGTGGGTTACAAAGGAGTACGAGTAGGCACTCGAGTGACATGATGGACCAAAAATCACTTAGTACAACCCCACGGGTGAGTAACACTAGCAGTACTAAACCAATAAATCTGAAACGAGTAACGTCTTATCTAACTGGTAACCATGATAACCATGGTAACCATGGTACCCACGGTAACTGCTAGAAGCTCAAAGGACGGTGACAGCCCCGAGGTTGTTGTGGAATGTATTGCTTATATCGGCGGAGGTGGGTGGTAGCTGGACAGGTCTGAAGATAACTGTGAGGTACAGGATGCCCGATTTTTTGCCATCTTTAGTTATGATATCGAATCCTTGGTCAACCATCTGGAATTTAAACAGTTAATTTAACAAATTTAAATGGTACAACATTAATTTTTTTGAAGGTTGTTTAATCTTATTTCAGTTCGCTGATAAGCTAGACCCGGGTCCCGACTACTATTTGTAATGTAGTATGTGTACTAATCGTGTATTGTTCTACCGGTTATTGTTTACACTGAGAAACCCTCAAAGTACTAAAATCAATAAATATGTTCAAGATGAGTTTAGTACATGCTCAGATGCCCAGTAAGGATTTGAAGGTCTCCAAATATGAAATACAGTAGCTAGTATCTTAATTAAGAATTAACTACTCGCAAACGACTTACTTTGGGTGCAACGTCATTTAGGTTGAGTCTAACTTTACCCATTTCGTCATTTCCTGATGCAGCATCATAGTCCATCATCTCTAGAGTCACATCTGATTCTATTATGTTGCGGACGAAGAAATCTTCAAAATGGTTAAAGACAGGGTCCAGATTGTTGTATACGACCTAAAAATTAAAATTAGTCTAATGGTCCAAGATTTTAAGATCTTCACTTTCAAACGGAACTAAAAAATGATAGTGGAAACTGGAGAAGTAAATAAATAACTGCAAAGCAGTCAAATATTAATGTTTGGCAAATGTTTAAATTCAAAATGCTCACCGGTGTCTTGAAAAGTTTCTCCCCGTTGAATTTCACTTTACAGTAAGGGTCGCTCTTACCGCGAGTATCCATAGCAGGCAGTCCAGTAGCTCTGCCAGATTAAAATGGATATTAAAATGATATAAATAATCATGGAATAGAAGAATTGTAAATTTGAGTGAAGAACTGAAGATAAGGTATTTGTATCCATTAAATCAAGCAAAAGCTAAGATAATCCAGATTAAAAACCGTACCTATCAGCATATTTAGTTAGGTTTTTACTAAAGATTATAATTATAGTGGTGCTAACTAATACACTACAAAATAGGTGTAAAATTAGTAACCTGTGGATGTGAAGGTACACCAGGCCAGATGAGCATCTGTTCACGTCCTCCCTAGTGAGCTCAGGAATGTGGAAATACTTTATATAATCTGTAACCTGAGGGAAATTCAAAGTTATTTCACAGAAGTCCCTTGTACAGTGTTTTGGGACGAGGAATTTCACGCTCATCAATGGGAGACATTACTGTTGAACAACACAAGCAGTCTTAACAAATTTGCAGGGAAAATTGTTGGATTCCGACCACATTTCTTCTATTTCACAATTACTAATTCCAGCTAATATTATATTATATTAATAATTGAAATTCCAGCTAACCTCAGTGCCACTCTGCCGTATGGGGATGTAAGGAAGCTCGTATGCTGTAGCTCTGACGACCAGCAGAATATTCTCGTTATGTCTCACTGATCTGTGAAGTTCCTTCTGAAACAAACGGAGGTTTAATCTCTGTCACAATAATAGACCATGCAGGAAGCATCCAAATCATGGAAAATCCACAGAGAATTCCACGCGGGAGTGTGCTCCGAACTCACTCCAAGAAAAGTAACAGTTTAAAACTACATTACAAAACTCACTGTTTTCTCTCGAATCAGACCGTTAACGTCTATTTTCATCTCTGCGAGCTTGTCGTCCTTCCCAAACGTGTGTGGTATGTACACCGAGAAATTAATCTGAAACAGAACGAGTGTTGTTAGTTTCAAAGCTTTGGAGTTCGAGACCCCTAAATATTACTCTACTCAAGACTCATTGCATTTCATTGTAAGAAGCGAAGTACATATAGGGCTTCAGTTTGTCGAATTGTCATTTGTATTGTCCGGACTGCCGAATATATCTAAAAAGGATATATATATACTCATATCTCACACTGCGACATTCAAAAGGTTATTAAGGCAACAAGAAAAAATAAAGTGCTCCGGGTAAAACGTAGAACCCACTGGAGAGTCTGTTTAAGACTAGGAGTGTAGACTAAGACTAAGAGGATATAATAACATCTTTGAGCAGTGTTTTAGAAAATGGTAACAGTGGCGTAACTATAACTTGTATACCTCCCATCACCCAATATCGCAGGAAAATGTGCTTCAATTTGTTTTCGGACGGACAAAGCTTTCGAGAAAGCAGATTTGTCTAATATAAATGATTTCTGCGTTCCGAAGAAAAACCTCGCGTTTTTCACCATACCTGATAACACTTCACTGTACCAATTCACCTACCAAGATATCCCAGCCCTACCTCACTGAATAGTTACGCCACTGAACGGTGAACAAAAATACAAGTCAATCCCAAATAAAACCTTGAAGTGCAATACATTATACAACCATTCACACGATTATCACTACCTCTTTTACGCAATTAGCCCCAGGGCATCGCCTTTTACACGTCTAAAATATGAATTAAGATCAATCTATTTTTAGAACATACGATCTACTATTGAGCACCGAGCCATTATCACAATCATTTTGCTACCTAAAAGCATCCCTACCTCTTGCTGAAGAACTGCAAGTGGGAACCAAACGTGACAAGTTTTCTGGGTCCTGTAAAATTCTACTTCTGATTTGAAATCTTTACCACCTGTGTTAAGAATACACTCAATATCTCGTTTCTTGTCGTTGTGTTGTTCAAGTTTGTCCTTTCGGATATCGACCTGGGATTTAAAAATTAGAATCACAATGGTGGATGAAGGCACAATTTCGGCGTCTTATCAAGTTCATTTCTATTGCATATCAACTTCATACCTTGGTAGGATAAGCTTTTATTACATGTACGTAAAGTATTATAATTTTATAATATAGAATAGTCGGCCGGCAAAAACTATGGTCAAGAATATTCTTCAAGTATACCAAGACAAATCCTCATTACCTGAAGATGCAGGACAGTTCTCTTCAATTTCCTGACTCCGAAGATGAGCATCATCTTCATCTCCTCCTGGGTCATGTCTATCAGGTATCTTCCCGGGTCCACTAGAGAGTCCGATAGTAACTCTTCTATTGTGTCTTGTAGCCAGGATTTTACATTCGGCAGCAGGTTCACATCTGAAGGAGTAAATACAAATATTACCATTTGTAATAGATTGTAAATAATTACGACGACTTACTTCGACTTAGGGCGGTTTCAACGTCCGAACAGGGATAGTTTTTTTCCAAATCTGTCTATCCAGCATGAGTTTGTTCATCTCCTTGCTGTCGTCAAGCCCCGTGAATAATTACCATTGTAATATAAAACTTCTAATTTGTAATTCTTGTAATACTTGTAATTAATTTCAAAATTTCTCACCGATCACTCCAAGACTCAGGTCGAATTTAATGTCAGGTCTTTCTCTGAATGTGAAGTAAACATGTTTGATGCAAGGAAAGGGGAGCGACTTATCCATTAGAATAGAAACCTGAAAATTTACAGAAACTTTATTTTCAGAATTTAAGCCATTTGTATAAAAATCTTCGTAAAATATTTAAAATATTCTAATATTAAAAACAATTAAAATATGCTAACACGTGAACAAAGAGTCCTTAAAACATAAACACTTCCCGCGACCAAGGAATAGAAAATTACTAAATTTGTAAAGCTTCACCTGGAGTTGGCCGGTGAACTTGAAACCTGTGAGACTGACATGTCCCAGACCTTTAAGATGAATCTTTACTTCAAACTCTTTCGAATCAATCCTGGGTCCAAGAACCAGTTCTAGTGTCTGGAATAAAAACTACTTACTCAATTGAAAACAAATTATATATTCGTTACACACAATAATGAAAAAAAAACTAAGGAAAATATAATATGTATAGTGAATTAAAATCAAGAGCTAAGTTATCAGAGAAAAGTTACAATCGCCGAGTAAATCTAACGAATTAACAAGAATCACTCCCACCTCAAGATCACGGTTATCAGCCCACTTTTCCCTGAAAGTCCGGCACCCCTCAATGTAAGGGGGATTCTGCCCGAAGGAGACACTCTCCAACACCACTCCTGTAACAGGTGAAGGGAGTTGTAGGGAGTCGAGGGTGGGTTGGGCTAGCTCCTTGATCTTCTGTTGCAACTTCTGGTCCACTGCCAGGTACCTGCGAGGATGTGCACCTGTTCAACTATTGGACAAATAGCTGCGATGAAATCCGTGGGTTCCAAAGGTATTAACAGTATAAGCATGATAGATTTTTAAATTTAATTTAATTGTTTGCTTTACATCTCTATTTTCTAAAAGTTGTAAAACTCAATTTAAAAATGACTAACCAATGTTTGATTATGAAGTTTAACCACTGCATGCTTTCGGTATCTGTCGATTTCTCGTTAGCATTCTTAGCGGCTTGTTGCTGCACATTCTAAAAATAGGAGCAACGAATTAATAGAAATGCGTTTTCAGGATGAGGTTAAAAAATCATATCGAATAATAAACGCAGAATGTTAAAACGGAAATAAATTTGAAAACATAAAAATATTTTCCCACCTGTTCAATCTGCTGTCTCTGTTTAGACTTGTTGAGATAGTGAAGGTACATGTAGGTAGCTAGACCTACCAGTCCCCCGATTACAGCCTCGTAAAACATCTTCTGAAACAATATTCTTGTCAAACACTACCGGTTGAAAGGCTGAAGTGCCAAGGAGTAGGCTGAACTAAAAGTTAGTGGTAGGTTCGACCTTATTACGCTAATATCTCTAAAATTAAATCGCTGGAATCAATAAAAATTGCTATTACAAATGTTTAAGTCAGCACGATATTTTTTCTAAAAATTGTCCTCAAAATAAATTATGCATACATTAAAAATATTATAATAGAAGTCACAATACGTGAGAAAAATTTCCGGTGCCATGCGATTGGACTCGTATTATTTTGCGTGACCAAAACAGTTCTTGCTCAATGCTCATAACTCCTCAGGGAAGCGTTTTTACCCTACGTCATGGGGGTGATTCGGAATCAGCGTCCAAAAATAGATCGATTGACGTTACTTGCATACCCTCAGGGCCTATCAACAATATTTGTAAACATTTGGGGAGAGATTTACTTTTAGTGGGACTGATGCAATCGCAGCGGTCCCAGTCTTATCTTACTCATCGGTCATTTGATTTGATTAAGCTATCTATCTTTAGCCTTTCCCTACCCTTTTATCATTCAGCTTAAGGGAGAAGGGGGCCGAGGATTCACCCTGATTTGTTGCGAATCTTGAATTCGAGGTAGCATTTGACCAACAAACTAAGGCCTGTGAAGTGTGAATATGCCAAATCACCGTAATCGAAACCAAGCTTTATGGTGCTCTACTTGTAGCTAAAAGTAGCTTATAGTGTAGCCAATAGTTTCCTGATCAGTTTAATAATTTTGATATGCACTTTTAATAATATACTCAGTGTTTACTAAAAACAAAGAAGCGAAACAGCAGCACGGTAAAAAGAACAGTTTACGTGGAACAGTTTACGTGGTAAGAAGGTTAAAACTTAACTGATAAATTGAGGGCACTTAACTCTAATTAACTGTAATAAATTGAGGCTACTATTACCTCTCAATATTAAACTTGTGCTTGTGTACATTTCTATCATCAGAGACAATGTGATGTCAAAGAGAGATAACGAACCTTGCTTTAAGAATGGCTATGAAACACGTGCTGTTTATTAACGCTCTATAACAATACAATAGAAGAATACGAATACGGATGTGTAGCTTTGATATCAGACCATCAGCCAAATCAAACAAAAGAGAATTTATATAAAGATTGTAACTGATAGATGCTGCACCGGAGCACTTGCCATGATCAAGATAGTTCAGGATTACTAGACTAAAACTCCTTTCTCTTGCTATTTGGCCGGCTTTTTGGTTTGATAATATCACGTCGACAAAATCTTTTGTCACTTTATTTTCTCTGCAATTGTGTTTCTTCTACAATCTACATGACAGATGTTTAGCAAGCGTGCGTAGAGCTGTCAGAAAACTTCTATGTGGTAACAGCCAAATAATCAGCCAAATAATCATAAAAACAAATTTAATCGTAGTTAATTTAATTAATAAAAGGGTACCTATGTAACTCACCTTGTAGGGGCGGAGTCCTGTTATTAATCACGTCATCACCCAGATGATATAATATCTAATAAAAAATTCGATAAGTTACAGTGTAATACGGTCGGGATTTCACTATTGTAATTTGCAGTTAAAAGTTGCAAAAGTATGAGCACGCTCAGACGAAACCCAAAACAAAATTGTCAAGCGATCAAGATACATCTGTAAAACAAAATCACCAGAAGGAACTAAAGTCAAACGTGACTAACGTGGGAGAGAGAATCAGTGTCGTGATCAAATTAGACCTCGTATATATTTCAGATAGAGCTATACTGCAGTGACCAAAATAAATGCAAAAGGCACCAATTAAACCATTTACCATTGGCCGATTTAAAAAAACTTTAGTTATTTTGCTTCCTCAAAGTTTTGTCTGCAATATACTGAAAAACCAGTCCCATAACTCTTACCGTTACTTGATTAATATATAGCATTCCTGAATTGAAATTGAACGCCAACATATAATTTATAACATTATTCAGAAAATAAAGAGCAACTACAAGTTCAATTTACTACGGATTAAGTGTTATCGTATAAATCTGTGAAACGATATAATAGTTATAGTTGGCACAATGTATTAATACAATGTAATAAACTGAGTACAGTGTAATAAACTAAATACAATATGTAATAAACTGGATACATTAATTAAGCTGAATACAATAAATTATACTATTCATTAGCGCAACTGTGTTGTACACAACTGACAAGTTTGAACAAAAAAAAGGTGCCTTAAACTTGATCCTTTTTTTTGGCTAATTATCAGAACGATCAGAAAAATTCAAAAGTATTGTGCTTATTGCGGTAGGGAGTAAAAGCAGGAGACAGAGTTGATTTTAATAAACTTCGTTATATCAGCCTATAATACAAGTAACAACAAACAGCATTTTGACAGCAAACTACGCGTAAATAAGATAGAAAATCATGTAACAAGACAAGAAAACGCCATCTGATCAACAAAAGAGAAGAAACAAGAAGAAACAAGTCTTAGAGCTGGATCAGGATTAGCAGTGATATTTGATACAGCACCACTAGGTATATATATTGAGATATTAGCTAGGTTAGATGTGCTGCGTGTATATATTAGACATGTTAACTAGTAAAGTGACCAGGTGACCATAACACTGTGAAATATGACATCGTGAAATTCAATTAAATGTGAGATTTAAAGAAATAAAATGTATGATTCCTATTATTGTGATGGTTGCTGTGGTTACTATAGTCCGCGTCACCCACATTGCCTCTAATTATATTCATTTTATGGCTCTGAAACATCTTACTTTCGACTATTATGCACGATGGAGACTGACTAATGATGTACAAAGTTACAAAGTAGGAAATAATATTGCTTTATATTTCCGAAATAGAAAGCAATAAATAAAATACAATAAGCTATTAAAATGATGAAATGAATTAATAAATTGCACAACGATAAAAATCTTTATAACGTTGAGACGAAGAACACGTTTGTCAGCCGCAATGAAACTTGATATGAAGGTTAACAGCAATAACGTGATATATTTTAATAACCTTATGGATATGCTTTAATCTACACTACTTAATTGGCTTGCACTTGGCAGATTAAAGTTAACAAATGCCTGATCTTTAAGTTATACCAGCGCTAGAGCGCTTGGCTGTATTATTTCTAGGTATAATATAAATTAAATATCAGGAAAATGTGCCTGAAAAACGTGCGAAACAACTACATTCGTGGCCTAAAGATAGACACTGTACTAAAATCAACATGATCGACAGTGACACTGAAGACACATAAAATAATAATCGTAGAGACTTAGAGAGATGAAGGATTACAGAAATAAGGGATCATCTCGTATTACATGATTTTAAGGGTACCATCGGCTATATAACCTGTCTCTCTGGAATGCTGGTAATGTGACGGAGAGACCCGAAACCGGCTACTTTCGCTTTATATATTGCTTCCTTCCCTTTTACTTCTATTCCTTCTATTCCTGGATGTAGTAGATAACGAAGTTGTGAGACTTTAATTAATGTAATATGTATGTCTCCTAATAGGCCTTATAGGATCAGCTACTTTCATCCTTCAATACTTAACAACCTGTCACCTTCAATAACGTATTAATGTTTGTTTGGAGGTTTTAGCAAGGTTTAGAGGGGGGGGGGGAACAGTGGCACAGCTGCTCATGAAATCTAATGTAATCTAGGAAATAGTGCACCACGAACTGTATGACACTCAATAAATTAATGAGAAGGTGAGAGTGGACGATATCTAATTAATAACTAACGACTATAAACGTATTGACGGCCTCGTATTACAAGTGATATATACTATAGTACTATAGTACAAACAAAAGGTTCCTCAACAAGGACTCAAAACGGCACTATAATACGTGTAAATGACAAAATAGCTGTACACATTGAAAATTACCAATATTTCGCAGAACAATAAACTCATGTACACAGGGTCGCAGTTAACACAGCAACCAATATGTCATGGCTCATTCTATTGTTCTCGGGCCTGCCACTCACTTTGGTAGAAAATGTGATCGCAATTTAATTTTACGAAAGCGATGATCGCCTGATTGGTTAGCTGATGTATTTTTACAAACAAGAGCCATTTTGTTGAGTTTGTCCAACTACCTATCTCCATGTAGCCCCTACAGTGTGGTATTATTATCAAACCCTCAGCAATAATATATTCCACATATAATAATACGTGGATAATAATATTATCATAATATGTATTATGCAACACTGTTATAATATACTGATATAGTGGGGAATTATCACTACGACACAATCAGATAACTAACGAAAAGAAACTTTGAAAGCAACAAAAAACACCTCACTAGCCAGTGTCGTGAACAACAGAATGTAGAATATTGGCAGCTTGCCAAACAGCGAGTAAACACTAAACAGAGAATGTATCGAGGAACTATTAAATAATAACTGTAGACCCGGAATCTACACATTGAGCTGTACCTACCAAGTACCAGGAGGGACGTAATGATGTGTACTACATACACACATTATAGATGAGACAATGACATCTCCGCAACTTACAAAGCGAACTTTAAAGATTAGCAGCACGACAAGCAAAGAGTAAAAGGAAATAAAATCTACTCAATCTACTCAATAGCATGCTGGCTGCTGAGTATCATTTAACATCTAACATTCGATCCTCATGCAATTAAACATTTGAAATAGCATATTTCATAGCACATTTTACAGCTAAATTCACGCTAAAGGCATAGCTCGACAAATCATTAATTCAGAAAACATAATCACATAATATGTGATGTGTCTAGGTTACACAAATATGAGAATATGGGAACCTACTCAAAACCAAATAGCAACATATTCGAACACGCGCCTCACCAAAAACTTCTGATCCCACGGTATAAAGAGATGCTTGCGGAGTATAGTAATTATTCCTTACATGGCGCGTCATCCTCACGCGTGAGGCATAACATCCTCACGCGTGAGGCATGACGCGCCATGTAAGGCAAGGGCGACGAGGAGCGGACATACACGATAACATTCTGTGATTGTTTGCTTCGTGACCTGAAGAATCAGTGGAACAGGGAACTAGGAAAAACACCCACTGATGGTGCTATTGCAGGTTTGGAAACTGCGAAATAATTAAAAAGCTAACATTTATAGGCAACCATTGTTATGCTGTATCCTTTTTATAAATAAACAACAGAAGGACACGGAAAGTTGAAGCATGGACATATAAAAGTTATAAATAATGAATGAGAAATCAGTATTTAAATTGAAGATTATGTTCATGTATACCTATTAATTAACAGAATCACCAGGAGCCCTGATTTACTTGATTCCCAGATTTCATGCGTCCTATCCGGTTACTTCCACTTCCAGTTACTTCCACTCATAAAATCTGCTGAGGTGCAGATATGTCAATTATTGTCTACTGCTAATTGTCTACTGTCTATAAATAGAATATAGTTATAGACGGACTTTATACATGTATAGTTATGCATGACCATGCATAACATAGAGTTGTAAATGAAGCCAATAATACTTATTGAAGAACTAGAAGTAAATATGGTTTGTATGCCAGACCACACTGTTACTACTGTGGTAAATTGTGGCAATTGTATCTGTAAATATGTATAAATGTTAGCTGTGTACGAGTTGTCAGCAATAATAACTCATATTTAGAACTTCGGTCAGGAGAACTGAATCACAGTTTCGATGAAACGCCCAATAGATAAATATAATAAGCAGAGCGTGCTTCTGTTTGTCGCAAACAACTAATCCACTTAACTCATTATATCCTGCTTACCCAGCCTGCAACTGTCACTTCTGGAATTCATTTTCCGGTTGAACGCACATTTGACAACCTGTCTGTGAAATTGTTGCTACCCCCTTGCTCACTACTCAGTTAACAAAGCTTTTTTTGTGCCATCTGTATAATATCAACTTTGTTACAGTGTAAAAAAGCTTCAAATTGCACCAAAGTTTTCCAGTTTCTTATTCTACTTCCTGTCTAGCCTAAACACCACCACAACCATGACTGGCAAAGGACTGTCCCTGCGACTTAAAGTAACAGCCCCAGAAGAATGTTCGGGAACTAAAACCAACTTTGAAACCTCCTCAGGAACTTGCAACCTCCACACGTGCGACTTCTGCGGGGAGGAAATAATAGCGACGACGAGCGGGTTGGTAACCATCAAGAACAAAACTTACCACCCCACCTGTGTGCAGTGCCACCACTGTAAGAAGCAGGTGGATGGCAGTCTCCTGGATAACAGTGGGAAGATGGTGTGTGGACAGTGTTTGAGGAAGAACTTCGGGTCTAATGACTATAAAGTGAGTTTGAAGCGGGAGGAGAGTTTGTCCGTGAGAAGCAGAGTTGAGTACGAGAAGGAGCCGCCAGTCAGCTCGGGGGATTTGTGTGAGTTTGAGAGGGTGTTTTTGGAGTGCCACAACAAGTATAGGGCTCGCCATAAAGTTCAGCACTTTGTGTGGTCGGACAAGCTGACCGCTAAGGCACGGAAGTGGGCGATTCATCTAGTCGCCGAGAGCAGGCGAAAT